AACCAAAGTGATGGGTTAAATTTAACCCTCGCTAGAACACAATATAATTGGGCTTCAAAGAACCGGCCCCTGCAGTATTAAAAAGATTCTGTGTGAAACACTTTAGAGATTAGTCCTCCTGAATCTAAGAATGATCCACGTATGTTGCATTACCTGTCAAAATGTTTTAATCCCAATTAGTTTGAAACGAATGATAAATTTCAGAAATAACCTAACACCGCGTTCGCGTTCCGAACTGGTGGGCGGAACGCGATTGGAACGCGGTCGGAACGCCGGTTCGAACGTGTTCCAGAAGAAACTTGGAAACGCGTTCCCCGCTTTGGCTAAAAACCGCGTTCTCGCGTCGGAAAATCCCGACAGCGAATGAAACCTTAGCTACTGTAGGTTTTGACAGTTGACAACTATGAACAATTAAAATTAAGCTTCATCCCATCCTCGTTCCCAGGGCTTCTCGGCTGCCTGCGTTGCCATAAGCCCTGGGACAAGCCAAACCGGAACACCACAAATTCTGGTGTTTTCCGGAAGTAAACGCGCTCTGCTGCAAGCTAAAACTGCTGACTATGCACTAATTTTTACTGAGGAGTGGAGACGTGTTGGTGAGCAGAAAATATTGGATTTTTCTTTTGTTTCGATGTATTTTCCACCATCAAGGGAATATATACAGACCACCTAATGGAATTATACATATTGGGGGTTTATATTTCGTTATATCGTTAATATTCGTCAAAATACAACCATATTTCGGTCTCGTATTACATGTATCAATTTTCATGTATGATGTAAACAAAATCTTCGAAATGTGCTCGAAGTGGCCGCTGTGATTCGAAACATCATGGGTTCTTGTACAGATGACCTGTTTCAACACGCGCTTGTAAAGTCACTTCAAAGACTGGACAAAGCCGGACTGGAGATTAAAGAGAAGTAATTCGAAGCTTTATCGTCTATCGTCTGTATATAAAAGGAACAAGAACGACATGTGACATACTGACATGTCTAAACGGCGGTGTGTATCTGTTTACTGGGTTACAACAACGGCAATAACAATGAATCACCTAACATTTCAAGAAAATATAAATTATAGATAGATGTAGTGCATGACCCCATGAGTTTTGGATTTGAATTGCTAGATTTAAATCCATATTATGTATACAAAATCATGCGTGCGTAAATTTGAGCAAAAAAGCACAAGGTGTTTGTTTGGCCATATGCCCATCATGTAGTATGAATATTGAACACCGTTTTAAATAGCACGTTTAAAACGTTATTTCCATGATAATCATGAATCCTTCACCGATTACATGCGTGGCAAATGACGAAAAATAATTATGTAAAATAATTAACCTAATATGTCTTTAGCCATGAATGCAACTCGATCACTATGCTGAACTTTATACATCTGATCTGACAGTCAAAACTATGTGCATGACTGTATGGCCCAATGTATGTTAATTGTTTCAGGGAAATTTTTGTGTTCAGATTAAAGTATAACAATATTTTCTGCATTCCTATATATTTTCTACATGCAAGTGCACATTCTGTTCCAGATAGGGGCCAAATCATTTGAGGCCAAATGGGATAGCCAATGATTGGAGGGTAGTGTTAGCAATACAATACAACAAAGCAACTTTTATGTCATTTTTGTAATGGTTTGTTTAAAATCAATTTTCATACAGACATGGTAGGTTGTCTCCTGGCTAGAAGCCTGCATACACATATACAAATTTTCAGTTTTGTCAATAATAATAGTTTATTTTATAATTTCAATTCTTACAAGATTTGCAATAAGTCAACAGAATAAGTATTCTATTCTGAACTGTTGACAGGAAACAGTGTAAATTCATGATCTCTTCCAATATGACACAGGAATTCGAGACCCCCACCTCGGGCATACCAGGGGCATTCACTTAATTTGGTGTGTGAAATTCAGTGAAGTCCCCTGCAGCCAGAACAAAATGTCAAGGTAAATTTCTTCGGTCCTATCATCCCCAGGTATTCAATTGGAATTTTTACTTGAAATTTCCCAAACCATTCCTTTACTGTTCTGTAAAAGCCTTTCCTAGCCGACTGCTTTATTTCAGCATTTATATAAAAGACTAAACCTTTCCTAGCCGACTGCTTTATTTCAGCATTTATATAGCCGACTGCTCTATTTCAACATTTATATAAAAGACTATAAGTGACCCCCTCCCCCATGACCTCATCCATTCCTCGACTTTGACACTGAAAGTAAGTGAATAAGAGGTGATTGTCCTTGCATTCCCCTCTGGTATGCCAAAGGTGCAGGGATTCAAATGACTGGTGCAATTGAATATACTTAATATAAGCTTATTAACTGTATTTAATTAAAAGCTATTAAAATTACTCACTAATAATACAACTGAGAAAACTCAGAAATAGTAAAATACACCTATAATATTCTATATGCTATATTTAAAAATTCCAATTGGCCATATTAATATAGGGCCATTTTAATATAGGGCCATTTTAATATAGGCGGCCAAAAGGCGGGTAATAGGCCAAGTGACCAATACCAAAAGCATAATAATTTATAATAAAACACAATATATTACACCATTAAAACTTTACTATCGTAAATATATATTATTAAACGTTTTACATTTACAGGGTGCTTAAAATTTTACAATTATACTTGAGCACAATGTTTTAATAATAGACAACTTTATAACAAGGAAACGTTAAAATGAAGAAACTTTTTAATGGCTTCATAACTGACGTTTCTTCGATATTGTTGCTTACTTCTACTTTATAATTGTCCATTTTGTTATTTTCTTTCTTTCTGTTTGCAAATTATCTCCATTAATCCATAGAAAACAAGCAGTATACGTTTGTATATCTTCGTATTTCGAACGCGCACTCCTTGAAGGCAGCCATATTGCCGAATATAAACATCCACTTGATGAATAAACTTTTCATACTTCACTCTATTTCCAACGACCAATCAAATCACTTCTGCTTCGGCTTGTCGCAGGGCTTATGGCAACGCAGGCAGCCGAGAAGCCCTGGGAACGAGGATGGCTTCATCCCGGGCCGGTCAGTTGACCCAGACTGAAACTCGACACAGTCCGAGCAGCATGTAATCACAAATAATTTTAAAAAATCGTTTTAATGGCTTTGTTTTGCGTGTTTGTTTCAACTGTATATGTAACCATGATAAACACACTGTCAAATCAAATAGCCGAAAATGCTTCAAATCGCGATCGTGTCTTTCAACCCGACCTAGAAAGGTCTGTGTTGTGCACAGGCCACATTTCAGCAATTTAATTAACAACATGGGATGAAAATAGTTCCGACTAAAACTCAGCCGGCTCAAACTGCTCACGGGCACAAATAGATCGCTATCAAACGTTCTGAAGCAAGCGTGTCATGTAGCATACTTAATTGCTACAGTTTATTTTAAATTGTCGCCGCTCAGTGTGTAATTTTTTTACGCATAACTAAGTCATTACACATGATTATAAACATTTACAAGTAGTCAAAACACCACTGCATGACTGTGACATTTTTGACTACCCAACATCTCGGGTCGATTCTACAATAAGTGCATGCTTGCAATATGCATTTACTAACAATCGTGCCAACTTATGATGATGTTTTCCTTACTATGGAACGCGAATACACGCATATCAGCAATAAATATCCCTCGCGTACGATTGTTGCATGAGTTCAGATTGAAATTATCTGTATTTCTAGCCTATAGGATGGATAATAAACTGGACGACCGTCCTTACCTTGTGCTTTTTCCGGTATTAGTTTATCCATTTAAAACTCCTCCTGTGATCACAGGAACTTTGATAGTGTAAGTTGTAAAACGGGTTTAGTCTGATGATGATTTTATAAAGTCCAAACACTGTGATATTTTGGCTACCTCTTTCGGAAATGAAATTCAATAGCCTATTCAACACACGATGAGTGAATAACTTTTGACAATAATTTCCATAATTTTAGACCATACTGTTAATATTAAAGTCATTAAAATTCCTTCAAAACTGTTTTTATTTATTTTGATGCCCTTTAGAGTTTTGTGAAAAGCGCGAGCATTTTCTACATGGTCATCAGAAAGCTGATGACGAATATAGGAAATTAGCTAGATTATGTTTTATTTTGTCCCGGAGTATTGACCACGCACATATGTGTGATGTGCGATGTGTACATCATAGGTTATTTTGATTCGCGATTCGTTAGTGGAAAGCAAATATAAAAACGCGGTTTCATGCTTTATAGTGTGAACACAAATGGTATACTCCGGAAATCGCGATGACTTCCGACGATGTCCGGTTTGGATACCAGTAATATGTAACTGGAACGCGTTCCGCAGTTGCGTTTCGGTAAAAGAGGAACGCAAATGGAAAGCATTTAGGACGCGTTCCGAATGCGTTTTCTGTTAGGTTATTTCTGAGCAGTACTGTACAAGCTCTTTTTCTCAGTCCATGAAATGGTCTATATACAGCTTTAGCGTGTTTTCTTTATATTATTTTATTGTACTGGGTTATGTTGATTTTGGACTGGGCCCTGTGGGCTTGTTAGAAAGTAAAAGAGTAGGGCGGTGTGGGGGTGCATTGAATTAATAGCTCGTTTAAAACATATCAAGTCACACAACCATCATTAGAGGAATATTTGGAACAGTTCCATGTACAATCTACCATAACATTATTTAGTCATTTCAGTGAACGTGATATACACAGCATTAACAGTGAACATTTTGAAGAACGTTTGTGTACAAAGTTCCCATTACTTTATATTGAGTATTATTTAATATTAGAGGAAGGACGCAGGCAGAGGGTTGGGCCTATTTGCTTCAACGCTTCTATGGACTCTGTGTTAATAAGAGAGCTAGCTGAAATGAAGCAGGGTGCAAAGATAGATAAAATACAGTATACTCACAAGTTTATTCACCAAAGAACGTTTCTGAAATGTAATATTTTTCCTTCACGGCGCACTTTAACATTTAATAGCTATATTTTAAATTTTAGGTAGATTATTTTTTATATCTTTTTCCTTTGTTCAGATACAACATTTCTACTGGAGATTATCCACCGTTTAGCACATTCGGTGACAAAAATGATGATCCGTAAGTATTTACAATATATGGTCGAAACTGTGAGCTCTAACCATGGCGTTACTTGCAAACAGACACAATCTAATGGCCAGTAGCAGAAATCTGTGTTGTGACAAATGTCACTTTCACGTATAAAAATAACAATTTGTCTGAAGTCTTAGCATGGAAGGCAAACAGCTGATTTTGGTGCTATACGGTATGAGCTTTATACGAATTTTAGAAGGTCTTCACACAGATATTCAGTACGATTTAGCCCTCACCAGAAAACGTGAATTTTCGTCATTCATGACAACGGGAACACTAACAAAAGTATCATTGCATCTATGCAGTAGATCAAATAATTTTGGCTTTCGCCAAACAATGTATAATAATAATACGATTTACTAGCTAAGAAACTGAAGAGAGAATGCGTGCGAATGGATAATGCTTTTATCTGCGACTGTTCATTCTTTGGCGCAAACGACATTTCTATCAAGTTTTATTCTCAAAGAAATTATAATTTTTTTTATTTTTTACAAGGAATAACGGTGTAAAATCTCCAGGACAGAACAACCCAAAAGTAGATGTTGGTGATGTTCAAATGCCATTGCAACTTGCAATCAACACAGCTCAATTTGGACGTACTTTTCAGGATCGATCTCACTTATTCAAGCTCAGGCCCAGGCCAAAAGGTGTATTAGATAATGACGTCATCTATAATCTGAACGTACGTGGAAAGCGAGGGAACATCGTGCAAGCTTATCCAGCGGTAGAATACGACTATATCCCAAAACGATTGAATATTACAAGCACAAATTTTGTGCATATCCAGTGGACAGGTAAGTTTGGTTTAGACCCTACTATTGAAAATTTCTATGGTGGGAAAGGGGTGTTCCAATTTATAATTTTCCTCATGTTTCTTGCATTAATTAAAACACACAAGTTTTCCTACAGACCTGGTGTGCATGTAAGAATCACGTTGGCATGTATCAAGCAAATATTTCATTAAAGAGCTTTATTTGACTTCGAATTCAATATTTGTCAATAAAGAGCTTATAGGCAACCAACAGTTTCATTACACAGACTTCAAGCGTGCATAATATAGCGTGATTATAGCTAGGTAATGGTTTGAGCAGTTCGTGTATGAAATCATAAAGAACTTCTCTCGGTGTTTACTTCGCATTAATTTTCTACCGATCACGTCACGATGTACTTTGGAACCACTTTTTCTAAGCCAGCAAGTTAGCAGTTTCCAAATAACATTTGATGCGACACTTGTGACTAGCGTACAGATGGCGAATTTTGTATTCCTTTGCCGGTCAAGTCTACGCCATTTTTACGCCATGTACCGTCCATAACGTGTACTACGATTCCCTAATGAGATTAAACAATTTCTGCGAAGCTCGTTTTGGGTCATGCCAATTATAACCTGCGTTTCTTTTTCTGGTTGTCAATTTCTATACCACATGGCTACATGACGGTTAAAAATTGCATCGCATATCCGACGCGTTATTAATTAAGATTACCCTACAATAGACATAGTGAGATGTATTATTATCTTAAAAAGACCGTCTTTTTTCTTTAAAGGATCAAATACCAATCCTAGGAATTTTGCCGGGCAAGGAACTGCAGGTATGTTTAACTGCATGAATAATATAATATATTAGGAATTCGCTGGTCCGCTTGTTCGATTCGTGCCAGAGGGTAGATATAGTTACATTTTTCGCAATAGTTCCTGCATGGTTATGTATAATAAATGTTTCCAAATTTCACTCGAAATTTCTATCTGCAAACCACTTCAAAAATATAATTGACAGACCAATATACAAATGATTTTTTTTTTCTGTGCTGGTGTTTTGTACTCAGGTGTGAATATGATGTTTGTGATGTTACTCTGACTGTATATCCACACCGGGCGAGCTTGAAAAAAATATTAAAAAATCAATTTCGAAAAGTCATAAAAAATCATATTACTAGGTACATTGGTATCGAAGGAACTAGATTCTGTTCCGAAATATCCGCACTTAGTTCAAATTTGTGCGGATTTCTATTGTTCTCAGTCGGGTTTTATTTGGGTAAGATTCTTAAAGCAAGGGGAGGGATTTGATATCTCTCCAGGGAAAAGTGGGGTTGATGAATAGAATTGAATTAATAATTATAAATTCACGGGGTTTATCTATATAAAACCCGGATTTTTGCGGGTTATATATATATAAAACCCGCAAAAATCAGGTTTTATATACTTAGATAAAACCCCGTGAATATTTAATCATCAATTCAATTGAATTATATTCATCAACCCCCCTTTTCCCTATAAAGATATCAAATTCCCTCCACTTGCTTTTAGATTCTTACCCAAATAAAACCCTATTGAAAACAAATTTAGAATCTTTGCTTCGACAAACCCATACACATATTGTTCGTTATAGCGCTTCTACCTTCGGCCCACTCTTTCCAAATACGATCGAACTGCCCAGATGGTGTTGTGTCTTGTGCATACAGTATATTCGGTATACGCTCAATACGCGTTTTTCAAGACTCTTTGTTTATCTCTGTCTAGTTTGAGCACTGCAAATCCCAATGGTTCGTCATTTGCTTGCAAAAATTCTCTT